TAAGAAGCAGCTTTGTGTGATATCCATTATTCCACAGCAACAACTCACAGCCTGAAATACACACTTAAAAGGACATACTCTGTTTTTACCAAGAGGGAGGTAATTCCTGGCATAAGGCCACATACAACACCTGTATGTGGCAAATGCAAATGTTACTGCAGTTAAACCCTACAGGGGTAATGAACAAGAGGCCACGGATGAATAATTTCTCTCTCTGGATGCACACATACGGCTCAATGCAATATATGCGTGGAATCCTTCAGCCAGGTCTGAGCTAGTGTCACAGGCACTGTGTATGTACATGACCACAGTGCTGTAGCTAACCTAATTAGCATCATGTTCAAACTAATTAGCACCACCTACCAACAGGGTTAAGTACTTTGGGTGCAGCAGCACTCACATGCAAGTATTCAGCTGCTGCTTCCTATTCTGCATGTACCCTGATGAGTATATGCTCTGTTAAGTCGTGTGCTCTGTTGCATGGTGTTGAGGTGCCCTCTGTCCTGTTTGGCTTTTTAAATGGCAAACACAGATAATTTGGTTTTAATGCTTCCAAGGCAATGTAAATCTTTACTCACTACTGTTTTTTCTATACATTTTCTATTTAACTGAATACGAAAAAAATGCTTAGCATACAAAACTATTAGGATAAAATAAGTTTAGGATATGCTTCCACATGCGTCTAAAAAGAACCTAAACAATGAAAACAACTAGATGAAAAGAAATCCCTAAGTCTCTATGCTCAGCTGCTCATGTAAGCGCTGACTTTCTGCTATCTTGTCCCTGGGGGACTAATTTACAATTCTGTAAGATGTTACTGTAAACTGCTTAGTAGCAATGTTGTGTCCATTTGCACAACCATGAATGATGATCCAAGGTGTGAAGCAACAGAAAATCAGCCTCTGGTATTTATATATGACCTTAGGGAAGTATATCTCCTTCAGAGCATAGCTTTGGGAATTTTCGTTTTCCAAAGCAGAGCTTCTGTGGCAGTTTAATCCCTTTTAGCTTCTCAAATGAACTGATAAAGCATGCCCATTTCAAGCTAATACATGGACACACTAGTTGTAATAATGAAATCCAAACTTCTTACAAGCAACTAAACTGGGCATTATCAGCTGGCAGTTTATGTGTCATGGTAGAAGAAATCTTGAGAGATTTGAAGGATGCAGCAATTGCTTCAGGGAGGGTATTCCATATGTTGAGGGTGCCCAAAAGGACATAATTAACACAGCTACAAGAAAAGCAGATGGATTAGATATGGAGGCTGAGAGAACAGCAGATGACAGGAAAAGGCAAAGTTGTTTAGTGTCACGGTGCAATTGAAAATGCAGCTGAACTGACAGAGCATCCAGCTGCTGCTGAGTGGGTGGGCTCCATAGGAATTCAGCAGAACAGCCACAATAAACCCTTGGAAGTGGTGAATGCTTCTGTGGCAGGTTAGCTACCACAACTGGCTCCCTTGGGTGAGACAAGCACCAGTGATGGCACAAGGGAAGCACCAGGAACCTAGCCACAATGAGGGGTGAGGAAGGAGGCACAGCATTACACTTTCGGCAAGAGCTAGCTACTAGCTTGGCTTAGCTCTATCATCAAAATCAACACTGCTACATAAACCAGCCTAAGCTATTGCTGTTCTGCAACCCTGCATCTCTCACCACTTACCTCTATCCCAAACCAACCCTGCAGTTGCACCAGAAGAAGTGCTGCCTGATAGACTGTATTGGAGAAATATGCTGGTTGAAAAATGTGCCTCTTCACACTCCCCCATGCTGCATTTCAGCCAAATCAGGTTCCTAATCTGGTTTATCACATGGCTGAACAAAACAACTGTGCCAGCAAACTAGCAGGCATATCAAAGGGACAGGAATGGATGGCTGGGAGCAGAGACTGTCTTAGGTCAGCAGAGCTGCAAAAAAGTTGTCAAACTGCGCTCTCATAGGGCTAGAGAGCTTGCAGAGACAAGGAAATCTATGGAGATATACTAAAGAGGTAAATACAAAAAGGAGGCACAGAAATAGACTGGGGAGATAAGTGCAAAAATGGTGGTTCAAGAGACCTTTTTGACAGGTCAGGTCAGGTGTAGGGAAAAAAAGATGTCGTAAGCAGGATGAGAGATAACAAAAGCCTTAAAAAGCATATCTGTGATCTGGACAGAGATAAGAAGATACTTTAGAGAAGGAAACAAAATTCATACATATCACAATTCAAAAAAAGAATGGAGGCAAAGACAACTCCCAGGTTATAGGTCTGATTGACAGAAAGTAATTGTGTGCCTTCCAGGTAGGATCACAAAGTACCTACCCAGGAAAAACAGGAGTCCTTGTGTGGGGACGGCAGATGGAGTTTCAAGTTGGGATACTCTCTGAAACACTATACATTTCTTCAACAGGTGGAAACTTTTAACTCTGAATGAGTTTTTTCAAATGAGCTTAAAAGCTAGCAAACTTGCACTTCCTCATAACGGTAGAAGTGGCCAGTATTGACAGCAATGCCACAGAGGGCAGGGACCAAAAATTTTTTGGATGCTCTGTAAAACTTCACACAGGAATCCAGAATGGGCCAAAGCCACACCTTTTAGCCTTTATCTTTTTGAGGGGAGCAGGAGCATTCAGATTCAGAAGCCTTGACTCTTACCTCCACTGAAATTTTGCTACAAGTACTACAAGTAGGAATATTTACGAGCTGGTTTTGATGACAAATTATTACACCAAGCTGGAAAATGAGTCCACATTTGTCTATTTCAGTAATGGAATGAAAAAATAAGCATTCTCACTTTTTGGAGTTGTACTCAAGTTCTGGAGATATTTCCATGCAATCTTGTCTCCTTCAGTGCCATCCAGTGGAATTAATGTGAAATATCATGCCTACAATATTTCAGTAAGGGATATACAAAAATACCACAGCACACAAAACAATTCTATATTTTCAGGAGCTGCTGCTCATACCAGGTAAATTGCAGGTTGTCAGGGATATTGGTATAACAATAATGAAAAATAGAACCATGATTTTCAATAGCAATAATTCAAATTAAATCTGACATTGTTGCCTGGAGTCTCAGGAAAGCTCCTTATATAATTTCTAAAATAGTTATTTGTGTCTGCAAAATATGTAGCACATACAAAATTCATACTGGTACAGCATGGTATGAAGATTTAATAGCATCCATTTCTGTAATGCACCCATCCACAACCCAAGCCAATAAAATATTAGTTGTAATTTTTCCTCTCCTCCAAGGCATGAATAGTTTGACTGCAAGAGCAGGAACATTAGATTTATAGGTGCTTACACTCTCAATAATACATGTATTTTTAAAACATATTCACACATATCTATATTGTATTACATATGCATGTGTATGTAGACATTCATGTGCTGCACACATATATATGCACACACACAAATAAATGTTCAGTATGTTACAGCTTCATAATAGATTCTTTTTTTCAGATAAGACCTCCTTGCCCTTTTAGTGCTTTCCTGAATCCTCTTGAATTACAATGAACTTATGCCAATATTTGCATTAAGATTCCTAAGGCTGTTTTCTTGCCTTTTCCAACTCCAGGGTAAAGCCGCCTGCCAAAGGCAGAAGGCTTCCTACCTAAAAAACTCTTTAAAGGTGGCTTTCAAGAAGGATTTCTGAAAATAAATGGATCTCTACCTCTTTTGTTCCTTTACAACACACACAAAAGACAAGAAAATATACTAAATTAGAAAAGCAGAATATTTTATTGTGTTACTTACCCTAGCAGATGCCTACTGCAATGGGGAAAAAAAACCAAAACCCAAACCCACATTGAAATGCTAATGTCTCTGGGCTCACAGTTTTAACTATCCTTTCTCTAATTCTCTGTTCAAATCCCAGTGGTTCCTCTGTCAATGCTCCCCTTCCCATCACAGCTTGTCCCTTTGCTCAGAGTCAGGACTTGATTCTGTCTGATTATGTCTGCTCTATCAATGTGCTTTCACTGCTCTGTTTTCCTCACTAGTTTCCACATCTATCCTCTCTCATTTGTCTTCGTCCTAGGCTCCTGGCATACAGTCCATTCCAATTCCTCTTCTATATGTATTTGTGCCCTTGCCTTGAACTCGTTTCCTTCATTTCTCCTTGAGAATTTAATTTCCTTCCTCATCTGATCCCAGTATCCTATCCATACTACTCTCATGTTAAGCTTTTCCACCCCCTAGTACTTTTAGTCTCACTACCTCTGAGGAGGTGTGAGTCTGCCTCCATACTTACTGCTTTTCTCCCCTCTGTCAGGTCCTTGTTCCCTCACCATTCCTATCAGACATGCTCAAGCACCTGTGAAAGCAGCTTTTTGGGAGCACAGGGATGGTCTCCACAGCCTCACCCTCAATCCAGAGGCCCACCCCAGTCCATAGTGGCCAACAGAGGTCTCTTCTGGACTCTGCAGCCCACAGCCAGGGTAAACTTCACTGCAGCAGTAGCAAGGGTGGTGGGGAGACCTTCCAAATCAGGAATGTGGAAAATTAATTTCTTCAAAGGCTTATCAGTTATGCTAAGTGCAGTCAGAAGATCAGACGCTCCCCTCCCAATTCAGTTTTTCATGACAAATTCCAAGACTGCTCTAGAGCATAAACACATTAAAGCACTTCAAAAATAAGATCTCCACAATATTTTATTCTAGACAAAGCCATTTTTTCCCCACCTTTGTTCTTAGATCACATACGGTAGCAGTTAAGTCATCCTAAACTTCCATCCTTGGCATGGAAAATTTCACACCAAGTCATGGATGTTTAGTGGTATGCTACCTAAAGCATAGTTTAACAAACAAGATTTATGGTATGCTACCTTTAGCTCTTAAAGGTTAAGTTAAAGCTTAACAAACTCATTTAAAAGAAAACAATTGACAACCCTATGGTATGCAGTTATATCTTTCAAGTATAACATATTAATAAATGCAGAATAGTATTTAAGCTAATAATAAAAGCACGTAAGAGTAAAGAAAAATTATTATCAACTAAGATCTTCATTTCACCTTTAGTTTTGCCTACTGCGATTACACAATACATTTTCATCAGATGAGAAATCTCAGAAGTGTGGATGATTGTGTAATCCAGAGCTGCTTACAGTAGTGTAACAACAGCTGTGTAACTGCAGTGAAATAAAAACACAGATACACTCTACTGCCCTTCCACTGACAAGCCTACGTAGCCATTAATACTCCTTTAGCAAGTCTTTTATTCCAAGGATTACTGAACAGTAAGGACTCGCTACCTCAGCACATGCACACGTCTCCCTTGAAGTGCTGTCCCCTGCCTAGCTAGGGGACCTTCAACAAGCTGCTCTTCCCGATCCTTCTTCAAGATGCATTCTAATGAATGTAAACCAGATCTCCCAAGTGTTTACTTATTACTTACAGCAGGGACCAACCTACAGAAGGTACTCAGAAGATTTATTGTGCCAGGCCAGTAAGATCCCACTGTAATTTCCTTTCTGTGGCAATAACTCGGAGCTTTCTGTTTGCATTGCTGTGATGGTAAGGGCACTCTTCTCATATTAAGCTGAGTAAAGAGCATCACTATATATTAACCTTCACTGCACAGAACTTAATTGAACTCAATGGGGCTACTGCCCTCTGCGTTTCCGATGGACTTGGCTTTGACAAAATAATAATTCATTGGTTTACAAAGGCAGAAATAAACTTTATTATATAGGAAGTGCAGGTGCAATGCTGTGCTTACAGACACCAACATGATTCACCTCGAGATTTTACTTTTATCTTGCCAAAATAAACTACTATGAAGCCCCAAATGACTCCAACAACACTACTATCAACGTGGCATTTAGAAGTTCCTTCCCTAGTGGGAACAAAACTCTTTTCTTCCAAAGTTGAAAATTAAATGCTCAGTATTAGCACCATCAATGAGGTATTTAACTTCAAAATTGCCTTTCCGGGTGAGATGAAAATGCTACTTGTTTCCTTTTTTAAAATTAACAGCAGTGTTTTTCTCCCTTTTCTACTACACACACTTGTTTAATCAACCCGAGGCACAGTTGGTCCGTCGTGCTCAGAAAGCATCGCAGGTATACAGCTATGCTTGTCTGTGTGTGCACATGTGCGACATATCCCATGCTCCAGGGCCAGGATTTAGCCTGTCTCCAGAATGATTCAAGCAGACAGTAATAAAGTACAAAGAGTATGTCTGGAAAAAGACAGGAAGGAAAGCCAAAAGGCTAAACTTTGGCTTAAGCCGTCTTTGTACCAACAACAAGGCTACATTGATACAGAAGGAGCGTTAGAGAAAAGTAACCAAAAATAACAGCAGTAAGGTGCCAGACCACAGAAATTGCTCACCATAGCCAAACCCTGTTGTGAGCTATTCCAGAAATGTGCAGGACTGCCCTCTGACTTTTCTCCACAGTCACCTACATTTGTGTTCAGACGTGTGGTCAGGGGGCAAAGAAGTGAAATGGCTTTTGGTTAATTTGCCCTCTAAAACTGGAAAGAAAAAAAAAAAAAAGGTTGTTCTAATCAGTACTTGAGCCACTCTAAGACCAGATAATGTACTAGGCTCTGAAGCTGTGCTGAGTCTCCAGCACTCCCTAGAATGATACTTTTGGAGGAGGCAAGGACTCACAGGTGAGTCCATATAACCTTATGCACATGCGGTGACTGAAAGCAGATGCAAACCTCTAAGATGTGGAGGTCTGCCTTGGACGTTTGACATCAGGAGCTATCATTCAGCCAGCAGCACCAAAATATAGCTTTCAGGAGTCCCTCTTAGTACACAGGATGCCCTTACCACCTTCCAGACTCTAAGCCTTTCCAGCTCCTACTCTTACCAGGTATATAAAAGCACCTTGACACAGACTAGTCCTTAGACACTTCACTTGACAGCTCAACATGATGGTTGTCAAGGGGACAGGGCATTCACAGCTGTATTGTTTGCTCTGATACCTCTGTAAGAGTACAGACAGTCCTGATACAGCTACTCAGGCCTGGCTGAATTCCTGTCTATGAGGGGTACATCTCAAGCCTCGGCCAAATCCCAGCTGGCTCTGCTAGAAAGCAAGCTGGTTCACTGAACAGGCTGGCAGCATGGGTAACTTCGGGTTCAGCACAAACTCAAACCAGTTGAGTTTGTTTGCCAGGGATTCCCTTCACCCTTCGCTTCCAGGGTCTGTACTGACTGTGAAGCCAAGAATCTTCACAGAGCCAGAGGTCTGTGAAGAAGGTCAAGATCACAGAGCCAGAGGTCTACAAGACAGGCCCACCTTGTTTCTAAATGGACAGCCTAGAGTGACAGACCATGCCTTTTATATATTTGAGCCTACACTACCAAACAGTCACATGCAGGACTGATACGACTAATGCCTGGAAACAGATGGGCAACACTACACTGGTGGTGAGCACAGTGCTTCTAAACCTGCTGACACTGTTTCTAAATAAACCCAAGACTCGTACACCACAGAGTATACAAACTTTCTGCCCTCTTCTTCCTCTACATGCTAACACAAAACAATATTGCGTCTGTTGGGCCCATCCCACTCATTAATGTTCGCTTCTGCTCTGTCACTGGGTTATTCTTGCCAACGCACAAGCTAACATCGTGTGGGTTAACCAAGAAGGCGAAGGAAAAACACTTCCACTCTATCAACAGATACAGAACAAAAGTACGTTGGACTCCTTTTTTCTGGCTTAGCTTCCTTACTCAGTTTTGCACCATAAAGGTACAAGTTAAACCACTGCATAGCAATTTCCACGGAGTAAGACATTAAAGTCACTTAAGGAAAAACACTCATTCCTTAAATGCAATCTACCTTACAGTTCACTCCACAATGGCATGTGGGTGTTAAAAACCCAAAACTTCAGGAAAGACAGACTTCTAATTTGGGTGGTGAGGGAGGAACTCTTACAGCTTTCCTGGGACAGCCCTTTGGAACTCGGAGCTCTCCTCTGCTGCACTAAGTGAGCACTGTCGGCAGATTGTGGTAATTTCACAGCGTGCTCATTGCTTTTCCACACAGAATTCTTCACGTGGTTTTGAATCAAATCCTGGGGTAAGTTTTGCAACACGAGGACAGAGTGGCATGAGCAATGATCTGAACACCTTGTAGCCTGCAGCCCGCAGAACCCTTCATTTAATGTTTCCTCCAGTACACTACCACAACCCATTTCCTTCCTTGCCACTACCTTCTCCTCACACGCCAAGGAGGCAAAACCACAAACTGTTCCCATGAAGTCCGACCTCGACAAGGCTTGAATGAGTCTGTAAGCAGACTTTCTCCCATGCTGTGCCCAGGCAGAATACAGGGCAGGTAACTGTGCCCGTACCACCTCTTTTTCCCAAACTCTGAGGAAAGGATGGGGGAACAAGCAGCGTGTCGCAGGCCTAAGGGCCGGGCACGGCAGGTGAGCAGCTCCACTGAAAGCTTCCACTCCTCCAAGTACGAGCCTGAACGCAACAATTTCTTTGGTAGCCACACCGTGAAAAACCTTCGGGTCCGGGTCCGGTACTGCCCGGCCCAGCACAGCGCAGCGCAGGCCGCCCCACACGCCCGCAGCGGCGCACAAGGCGCGGTGCCCTGCCCGTCACACCCCCGCGGCGAGCGGCCCGGCCCCGCCGCCGGTGAGGTACCGATACCCCTCCCACGCGCGCGGTCCACCCCATGACCGTTGGCGTCCCCGCCCCTCCGTGCGCCGCAGAGCAACCTGGGCCGGCGGGGAAGGGGGGAAGAGGGAAGAGCGCAGCGAGCGCCGGCTCTGAGGTCATCCCGCGCGGCCGGAAGGAGCGGGGAGGCGGTTCCCGCTGCGGGCTGGGGGGGCCGAGGAAGGCCTCCGCGCGCGGAGCCCGGCGGCCATGGCGGCGGTGAAGGCCGCGGCCGAGCCGCTAGGGCGGACGGCGGAGGAGGTGGCCTGGGCCGAGGCGTTGCGCGGGGCCTGCGAGCCCGAGCACCACTGGCGGCACCGCCGCGAGTTCCTGCTGCGCAACGTCGGGGAGCTGCCGGCGGCGGGCAGCGCCCAGATCCAGCGCCTGGTGTCCCTCTCTATGGTGTGGGCCAACCACGTCTTCCTGGGCTGCCGGTGAGTGCGGCCGGGCGGCGGGCCCCGCGGGCGGGGCAGGGCGGGAGGCGGCCGCGCTTCACCTCTCCCTTCTTCTCCTTTCCCCTTGTCGCCCTTCTAGGTACCCGCCGCAGGTCATGGAGAAGGCGCTGGAAATGGCCGAAGGCATCCAAGTGACCGGCGCGCCTGTCCGCACCACGAGAGATGAACTGGTTGCCAAGGTGAAGAAAAGAGGCATATCAAGTAGCAATGGTTAGCAGATCATAGCTGTGACAATACATAGGAGTATAGAAAATGCTTGTTTTTGAATGTTCTCGGTTTACCTCGGGCCTAGAGAGAAGTCGTAATAATTTACTGTTTAAGCTCCTCGTTAATAGTTGCGCTCCTCTCTGTGCTGTTTTTGCTTCATACAGTACCTGTATGTAAAATAGATGTAATGCATTTATATTCCTTTAGGCACAGAGAGCTCTTGGTTTGAATTTCTCTGTACTGGTATGCTTTAAGCTGATTACTCCTGTAATGCCATCTAGACTGTTGTACACTGGCTTAAATACATTCGTGTTACTTTGCCTTTAGCAGTAGTCGGACATCGCAGCTTTGCCCAAAACCTAGTTTCTTAAGGAAATTCTTAAAGTGCATTTTAAAGTAAAGCTATTCTAAAGATGTTTGTTATATTAGTATGCAAAATACCTGTTGTTGTTTAGGTCAGATAGTTTGTTTAATGTACTTTGATCATTTTTTTGGTTTGGACTTTAAGAACAGAAATACATACTTGCCTGCCAGTCCCAAAACAAAACATGGAATCTTGCACCTGACTTGTTTTTTTGGCTTTGTGTTTTTGGTTTTGTTTTTTAACACTAAAATATTCTGAAATATTAGGTTAAAACTTGAAAACGCAGTTCAGAGTTTATTTGTGATAGGTACATTTTAAATTCACAAAGATTATTCCTACAAGTTTTTAGAAAATAGATAAATTGTCTCTAGATGTCTTATAGTGCAGAAATTGAAGAGCGTAACGTACTTTACTTGTTTTGCAGAAGGGATAGAGCTTCCCTCCAAGAAGCGAGCTGTTGAGAAAAGCAGAGATTCTGAGGATACCGGAAAGGATGTGAAAACAACCAAGGCAGAATCCCCGAAAGAAACAGAGAGCACACTGCCTAAAGAGCGGGAAAAAGATACTAACAAAGATCCAGAAATCTCCCAGTCAACTTGCAGTTCAAATAAAGAAACAGTCACAGCATCAGATGTAAAAACAGAAGAAAAACCTGCTAATGCTGAAAATACTACTGAGCAAAGCCCACCTTCATCAGAAAAAGAGTCAGGAGAGAAGCCTTGCTCAAATCTGCCTAAGGAAAACAAGTGTGAAGATGTGCCACTGCCTGAAAAGCAAACTCCAGTAAGTGTAGTGCCAGCGTCTGCCAAGGGCTCCCCGCAGGCAGAGGCGGTGCCAGCAGTGGTGCCACCGCCTGCCAAGAACACGCTGCAGGCAGAGGTGGTGCTGGCAGCCGTGCCAGCAGCTGCCAGTAGCACCCCGCAGGCAGCAGCGGTGCCAGCAGCAGTGCTCCCGGCTGCCAAGAGCACCCCACAGGCAGCAGCGATGCCAGCAGCAGTGCTCCCGGCTGCCAAGAGCACCCCACAGGCAGCAGCGGTGCCACTGACCACCAAGAGCACCCCACAGGTCGCAGCAGTAGTGCCACTGGCTGCCAAGAGCACCTCACAAACAAGTGCTACATTGCTGTCTTCCAAAACTCAAGCAAGCACTGCAACATCAGTGTCCAAGAGCAGCACTCAGGTAGGCACCTCGCTGCTGCTGGCCCCCAAGAGTGGCACTCAGGTAGGCACCTCACTGCTGCTGGCCTCCAAGGGCACAAAGGTAGGCTCTTCGCTCCTGGCCTCCAAGAGCAGTGCCGAAGTGGCTGCCTCGTTGCTGGCCGCTCGGAGTGGCTCTCAGCAGGGATCTTCACTGCTGACTTCCAAGAGCAGCGCTCAGGTGGCTGCTTCACTGCTGGCTGCTCGGAGCGGGGCTCAGCAGGGTCCCTCGTCACTGGCCTCCCGGGGTGGAGCTCAGGCAGGCGCTTCCCTGCTGGCTTCTAAGGGTGGCACACAGACCGGTTCCCCACAGCTTGCCTCCAAGAGTGGCTCGCAGGCAGGCGAAAGCCTTGCTAAGGCTTTGCGCAAACCATTGACCAGTGAGGATGTGAAGGAAAGACAACCTTTTTTCAACAGACTGTACAAAGCTGTAGCCTGGAAACTGGTTGCTGTTGGAGGCTTCAGTCCCAACGTAAATCACGTGGAACTTCTAAACTCATCTATTCAGTCTGTAAAAGCTACTTTAGACGTTGCTTTTGTTCCCCTGAAGGAACTTGCAGACTTGCCTCAAAATAAAAGCTCTCTGGAAAACATAGTTTGTGAACTGAGGTGCAAGTCTGTCTACTTGGGTACTGGCTGTGGTAAAAGTATGGAAAATGCCAAAGCGGTTGCTTCAAGAGAAGCTTTGAAGCTGTTCCTCAAGAAAAGAGTTATTGTGAAGATCTGTAAAAGAAAATACAAAGGTAGTGAAATTGAAGATTTGGTACTTCTGGATGAAGAATCAAAACCTTCAAATTTACCTCCAGCTTTAAGAAATCCTCGTGAGATCTTGTAGGGAGCTTCTCCGTTTGTACTGTGTATGATATTTCAACACAAGGACTGAAGGTTAATTTTGTACTTTGAAAATGTAGGCTTCCAGATATTTTGTATTTCTTTCTCAGTTTTGCAAGACAATGATAGTCCTCTCACTTAGTAGCAATTGTATAAAACTTGTTGGAGATGACAGGTGCGCATTTAAAGGTATGCCTTAATATATAGCACACCAGTGTGCTGGTTTGTTTGCAAAATAGTCTACCTAATTCTTCTATTTTTAATTAAATGATTAAGGTACAATTTGCTGTTTAAAACCTGACAGTTTTGTAATTCTTACGATTTGATGGCAGTGTGCTCAATTGTCTGTCACGTCTTTTTTAGCCATGTAGGAGTGTGTATATAGGGACCATAATACTTGAAAGTTGTTAAAAAACTTCAGTCAAAAAGTTGAACTCCTCTGTTTCAGGCTTCTTGTTCATAACGTTCACTGTTGTGCATACTAGGAGAGAAAATAGTTGGTTCGCTTATTTTTATGGGATGTTTTTGTAATGCTCACAATATAAATGACACCCTAATCCCATTTAACATTGCACTGGCAAATTACCAATTGGCAGTCAAGTCTGAGCTACATCAGCCACCAGAACTCTGTAAGCAAGTTTATATTGTGAAATAGGACTTGCTGATTTTTCTCGAAATAAACATGGATTTCTATACCAAGCATATTTTGACTGCTACTAAAACCTCTGGGATGTTCTTTTATAGTACTTTGGTTGTGGCTATTGAATATTCCAGCCATTTCAATAACTTTGCAACACCTGAATAAAAGCTTTACTTTGAGTGGCCTCAAGGTGTAATCCCACAAGGATGACTTGTTTTCTTTGGACTCATGGCTGCAATATTGTAAAACTGATGGTGGACCTATAGAATACCTATTTCTACTTTTGTGATGCCAAGAAAAGCAAAATGAAGATGCTGCTGTCTGCTAGAGACAGTGCATTGTGAAGCGTTCACACTAACTGAGCCCTCCCTTTGCTTTGTGTTTTACACCGTGTACGGAGTGGTTTGGAGCAAAGAAAGCAGGTGATTATCATTTATTTTCAATGTTACTGAAATACCTGCACAAACTGCATGTTTTGATATATCAGATAATGACATGTAATTGTAAAACCATAATGTCTTCAGTGCTATTTTGACGTGATCTTGTCTGATGACAGTAGTTAGCATTATTTAGTGGTGACCTTACACTTGACTGACAGATCCGTTGATTGGCTACTGCAGGAGTGAATATAAATTCCTGGGGTCTCTGTATTAGATGTGTCCACTGGAAGACTTTGATTTCTTCTGTGATTCTGGGACTGAACCACAGCAGCATTGTTACACTGTACCCTACACGATTCTGAACAGTGATGGCTGTCCAGCTCGTAGCACCTGAAGTCTGCAAGGCGCATGTGCTTCCCAACGGCCTGTTCACAACTTCCTCCCTCTGACCCCTGCGCTTCTGCGCTCTCCTGAGGTTTCTTGGGCATTCCTCCTCAGTGTTTCTGGAGCAGGACCTGACATTCGGAAAACAACTTGTTGAATTGTGTTAAGCCCCAATGCCGCATGAGGTTTGGCCTGTGCTCCTGGTGCAGAGCAAGTTCTGTGCTGTGTCTGGGAGTTGTGGTATTCATGCCAGAAAGCACAATCTCTCTTTTCATATCCTCAGTGTTCAGGTGAAGATACAGAGTGAGCGTTTTTGGGGGGCAGGAATTGCATCCTGTGCCTTCTGAAGTAGGCAGCAGCTTTTCTAGCAGTTGGTTTGGGCATTGCAAAGTCTCT